CCTATGCACTTGTTGTGGGGGTCGTCGTTCGGCCTACAGTTTTTGCACCCTCTATGGTAAACACTACACATTCCCACGCTTTTAACCCATTGGTTCATCGAGCGTATCAGTGTAAAACGGTTTTCCCGTAATACTTATTGAACGCATTTCGGGTTTATGACGTCATAATTGTTTAGTATTGACTAAACAATTATGACATCGGAAATTACACTTTATTTGAGACACTAAACGGACGAATTTGACCTAAATAGTTTTTCTCCGGGATTTGAACACTAGACGTCTGCCTTAACGCAATGCAATAAACGCTTAAGTTTAACGATTAAACCGCAGAGGCGGTCAGGCCTAGTATGGTTATTAAATATTTTTTTTTATAATTAACGTAATTGTGTTAGATACTTCACGTGCTCGTTTATGAAGTCGCACAAACGACAAGTGTGCCAAGGACCTAAGCTCGTAGCGTAAGTGAATTACGTCCACTGCACTTATTTATTGTCATTGTTAACATGTTTTTATTAAATACTGTCTGTAGTTTACGCGAGTAGTACACGTTTAAATAAACCACTAACGGTTTAAAATGGCATTATGGTTTGCCCGTATGGTGCCAAAAACACCATGCCAGCAAACGCGAAGATACAGTTAGTCAATTCTGTAAGGACCCGGCCAGTTTTGCCAAATACCAATTTCGACGGAACAGATGTTACTTTGACGTCTGAGACACGAGACACCTTCCACCCTCCCCGTGACCCCGGCTCCTGCAAAGCATCCGAAACGTCGGGTCGTAGTTAAAATAATTCTTAAATAAGTTTAACTAATATATATTGCGTTTTAAACCGTTAAAGCGTTTTATTTAAACATGTTTTCGTATTAAAAAGATTTTCAACATCGCTTAATCGTTGTCCGTAATTCATACTTATCAGTGGTCGACTGATTAAGTATCGATATCGTAATTAATAGCGTTTCGAGTTAATGTAAATTGGAAAATGGTTTCTTTGCCGAATGCCACAGATAGCCATTCATCATAGCGTTGTGAAAATCATGCTAATGAGGTGCGATCTCAACACGGTCCGGTGAGGAATAAGAATGAAGAGATATTATTGATACCGTGAATGGTGTGTAATTCGATTATTAATAACCTCTTCAATTATTTACACATCATCATCATCGACGGTCTGGCAATAGAATTCCCTAGAAGCCAGCGATTTCGTTCGCGTGGAATAGTTATTTTTAGGATAAAAATTCAATTTTGCAAACCTCCTCATCTTTATATAACTATTTAATAGTCGTTACCGTCGATGGTCGCGTCCCGTCTTTCTTGAAAGTTAATCTCAAAAGATAGACATATCGCGGACATTTTTTACATGATTTTAATAGGAATCATTCTTTCATACATATTTTTTGGTTATCGTCAAGCGTTTTTACTGTGCACGCAACGAAATCTGAAAAATGAATAGTTTTACCCGTTTGTTACACATGTCTCATTGTTTCTTCGCTCCTATTTGTTGCATCATGTTTCATAAAGCCTTACTCCATTCATACTATAACCAACAGAAAAGTAATTTTTCAATTCGAACCGGTTACTAAGATTAGCGCGTTCAAACGAGAAACAAACTCTTCAGCTTTATAATATTAGTATAGATTCATTAACAAATATCTAGATTTACAGATAATAATCAGTCATACCTTGCTACTACTGGACCTATGCTCCTTAAAGTTTCTGGCATAACTCAAATTTAATTCAGACCCAAGTTTTATAAAATAGGTAATGAATATCGTTGGTTATGATATTACTAGTGCAGGAAGGTACAAGGCCGGCATTCGAGCGTGAATATCCGACACCAATGACGACAAATTTACCTACCTATATACTTCACAGTACACTTGCCCTCCAGGGCGCAATTCTAATTACAGTGGTATAAAAGGAATCGCTCGTGAATTGTGCCAGATTTATGTACAAAGATTGACAAAAGTCGTCGTTAATTCAATATCAGTTGATTTGAGGATCGCCCCCTATATTAATATTATACTTAACGAATTCACGTTTCACTGATATAAACGAAATCGTTTTCACCCACAAATTTATCCGCCATTACCAAACGCGTAGATGACCCATTTAGAATTATTTAACTTTACAGTTAGTAAATCAGCCATAGACGAAAATAAGCATTCATGCGAGTTACGGATAACCGTGTTTGTTTTTACGACTCGGTGTTTGATTACGAACTAAAAACGTTAGGTGTGAAACTCAATATTTTTTATAGCTGTTTTATTAAAATGTTATTAGAAGTTGGTAGAAAATTGGACTAATATTATACACGTACGAGTAGCTTATATACTATCGATTTCCTAGCATAAAATTGATAAGTCAAACATCATTTTCAAATAAGTTTAACTAAAATAATGTTCTTTATATCAACGTTAAAAATCCAAAAAGAGCTCAGCAGTAGATTGCAAATAAATATAGTTTACTCGAGGTTAGGCGATACGTAAATTGATTTTTTATTGGTTTAAAAGCCAAATATATTAGTTATTGTTTTTACGCAGCTTAAGCAGACGAGACGTCGAACAGTAGCTTAAATAAAACTCCGCGTTTCAAATCGTTATTAGTTAAAATGCCCGCGTAAACTACAGAGATTAATTAAGTTATTATAATACTTTAAGACTAAAATTTTAATTTAATTTATAATATACATAGTTTTAAATTTATTAATAATCATAACTTCTTATTACAAATATTCAAATTAGTCTGTCGTTTACTTTGAGGTTACTTTAGCTTAAATTAAGAAATTGTCAAAATCGAACAAAGATTTGATTTACATTAAAAAACGGATGCTGGCTGTGGTCTTCAATTTCATAGTAACATTCGCATACTAGAGGCTTAGAACTAAAACAACACGTTTCCAAGTAATGGAAACCTTTGCAAACCACTTAGCTAGCATTGCATGTAATGTAGGGCTGAACATAGTATTATATTTGTGACAAAGCATTGACGTTGTATGAAGTAAGAGGTATTAAATTAAAGATCGGTATGACAGATACATTCTTGACGACATCGACCGTAGCAATGAATTTCTTCTAACCTGGGGGTTTTGGGTATTAAATGGAAGGACAGGATTGAATTTTGTCCAGGTTTGTGAATAACTGAATGTCTGATGCCAAAGTATATGTATGTGTGATTTTATATGGCTAGAGGTTTATTATGTTGCTTGTGTTGTGTGTCCTTCACTGTCTGCTTAAAAAAAAGGTAGACATAAAATTGGAAAAGCAATACCTCGCATTTTTTGTGTGGTCTTCCATATACGATATTTTAGCAACACAAAGTGTACACTCTTTTATCTAACGCGTCGTTCTACAGACAAACAGACACAACTTTGATAACATTGTTTGATCGCGTGTGTTCGGCTCCGGTGTTATAAAACAGAGGTCGAAGTGTTGGTTATAGACGATGTTGTTACTCTGAAACACGGCTGGCCATATGTTTATGTTATAAATACTAACATACGGGCGCGAGTGTAGGTGCGCCTGCGCATGATGTATGCCAGGATCCGCCCACTCGAACTATTTTTCACGTCTCCGTTTTTAATATCGAATATTTCGATGTTATCGCTTTTCTTATAATCGTTGATACCTATCAAAGTGTTCTGGTGTCAGCTCAGTTGGACATAGACGATTTTATTCTAAAGCATAAAACGCTTATGAAGTGTATTAATTTTTGGAAGTGTCAATAACAATAGATCTCATTTTTTAGACGAGAAATTGCTCCTAATAGGAGTCAAATACCCTGGCCTATTGTTTCGCGTAGACCAAATTCTATTAGTGAGCGGAAAGGAGTCATTGCCGTTAAGAACAGTGCCATTACGTTGGCTGTCGTATTGTATCGTATCAATCAGTAGGTTTTGTGATTAGAATTCTAGACTATTAAAAGAAAATTCAGGTTTTATTCCGGTCTATATCAAACCGCATAATATTTCGCATTATCGTTTAATATTACCGGGTTGTTAAAATAGATAAATGCAATCGACAAATTGATAAATTGATTACTCGAATACATTTGTTATCGCTGCGACGCTGATAAAATAGTTTATTACTACTTAGTCGTATTATTCTTTTTCATTTGATCGGCTTAATACTGTCTGTTTACGCGAGTAGTACATATTTATAAATAAAACACTTTAACGGTTAAAAACCGCGATATAGGTATATTAGTTAAACTTATTTTAACTACTTCCATCTTTAGTCTTCCCGTGAACACGGCTGCTGCAAAGCATTCGAAACGTCAATTATCAACATACAACGAATTATCAAATACGTTTAACTAATATATCTCGCGTTTTAAGTTGCGTTTTATTTAAATGATAGAGACTATTTTAAATTGAATTTTAATACATATCTATGGTTATCAACGTTCAAGATACTCTGACACATAATTTTAAGCGATTATTACTTATTATGCGTGTGCAACGACAAGACAAGATATTAATTGTAATAGGAAATCCGCACTTGACTTTCTTTTCTACTACCTGCTTTTACTAAGAACTTTTTAATGGCTTTCCGTTAATTTTGTCCGAATGTTATCTCTGATCGTTAAGAGGATACTCATTTTCACTATAGTATCAAAAGTTCTCGCTCTTTGTATCCTACAATCTTTATGGATACTAGCTCGTTGCTAGAGTGCAGATAAGCAAGGAACTCACTTAATGCAATGTGAAATAGCTCAGGGCTGGTTTTTGCGCATTCAAAAATCCTGAAACTGGCTAAAATAGACTGAAACGAAAGTTGAAGTTTCAGAGATTCACGCGTTGAAACAAAATAATAAAATATATATATTATATAGTCTTTTTATAGTACTTATATATTAGTGTAGATTATTATTTATTAACCGTATGTAGCTTGCCTTAATCATTAGACTGTTAAAAGCCTTTCTTTGAGATCTTCGTTCTCTATTTGTCCATTATAGTAATGTTTGATTTGTGAATTGCAGACAGTCTTGATGCGGTGACAAGATGGATGCGGCGGACAAGCGGATGTTGGATCGCGAGGCGCTCCGCAACATGATCCAACAGTGGAACGCCAACCGCCTCGACCTCTTTGAACTCAGCGAACCGAATGAGGTGAGAATAGTACACTATGCAGACACAGTTATACTCCGGCTTACGAAGTTCATGTACACCCCAATCGCGTTGCTCTCATTGCAAAAAATCGATTGATTTAAACCTAAATTAAATACGTCAATAATAGAGAGAATTCGTATAAAAGCCTTACATGCAGCGACCTCAGAAATGCTATGTTTCATCAGATGCATTGATATTAATTTCAATATTGCCAGATTGCTATTACATTTTTCAGTGATTCATTCTGGTCGACACTATTGCATAATCAATGGTGTATAATTGTATATGACGAATTTTGGTATAATTTCGTAGCATTGTTTAAATTATAAATCGCTTTTAAGTTTTAAAAAAATACGACATGACACGATTTTAATCTTACTTTAAAACTAGTGGTTTAAAGTCTTGAAGTTATTTAGGTATTATATAAAGACACTACAGAACTATCTAGTCAATAAAAATACATAGACACGATTCATGGATCCCAATGCGAAGAATGTTTAAATAAATTGGTTATATAGGAAATACGGATTTTTAAATTTCGAATCTATTCTATATACAGAATAAGTACGTACTGTCTGTAGTTTACGTAACTAGGCTTAAAACGCGAAATAATTGATTTAACTTATATTTAATTTAACTACTGGCGGATGTTTCGGATGCTTTGCAGCAGCCGTGGTCGCGGAGGGACAACACGGTCGTGTTATAACGTTAAAAGTGCAGAATAACTACATAATGTTGTAAAAGTGAGTCATCCTGCGTGTGCCTGTAAACAATTGGCATAGATAAAATCCCGTCACCGCTTTATCTACAGGAATGGGATCACGATAAGAGTGTTTACTACTGTTTATTCAGAAATAATTCTAACAAAGATATATGATATTGGCATTTTTGCAGTTGCCCAATTGAATCGAAAGGCAACTGTAACTGATTCAATATTCTGTGCATATATAATATATAAGAAAATGATTATATAAAAAAACTATGATTCGACAGCAAGTGCCAGATCGCGTGTCGTCTGTCAAACATTCGAATCCCGTCTTCGTCAAAAATGATTTAATTTCTAGTCAAAACCAATAATTAATTCGAAACTATTTTCATTTCGCAGAACTTAGAGTTCCATGGTGTTATGCGCTTCTACTTTCAAGATTCGGGTCAGAAGATAGCTACGAAGTGTATTCGTGTTGCCTCCGACGCTACAGTTAGCGATGTTATTGGTAGGTATTTGGAAAGGAAGAAAATGCATTAATATTTTATATATATTAATATATACTTTTATATGCTGACTATAATAAAATATATACATTCCCTAATTACATACAATTTAACAGGGTTTAAACAAAATGTTGTTCACGGTCAATCTTTAAATAAATACACTGTATTATGTTAATTAGAAAGACATGTTGTCTCTGTTTTCTTTTGTAGTTAGAATAGAATAGAAATATATTTATTCAGAAACAACATATTGTATTTTACAAAATACTATAAAAAGAGTTACAAATATAATATTATATATCTAAATACAAATGCAACACTAATGAGTAATTATTAGTATAATTATAATACAATTAGTAAATATTTATTTCAATAAACTAATTTTAACATTTGTTCTTTTTCAGAAACTCTTATAGAGAAATTCCGTCCAGACATGCGAATGCTGTCCCTGGGTTCCTATTCACTGTGGGAGACTCACGGCCCAGATGACGAAAGGAAATTGGAGCCGCACGAGAAACCCTTATTGGTTCAGCTCAATTGGCATGCGGATGATCGTGAAGGGCGATTCCTGCTCAAATGTTCTACTGGTAGTGAGGTAAGCTTATTCTCAAATGAGATTCAGATATACAGACATACATTGATTATTTATTTTAATCTTTGTTCTAATAAAGGTTTCATATATTTACTTTATAGAAGACAATTTTGATTTAGAATTATTAAAACTAATTAGAAATAATATAATGACTTACTTTGGTATGTGTATAAAAAGTTAAATCAGGTCGAATAACCTCCTTCCTCATCACATCGCGCATTTTATTTATATGGTGGAAAAACCTTTTTTCACCTTCTATTAATTCTACCTCATGCTTCTCCCCTTGGTCTCAAAACGATACTGCTGCTAAATAACCGATGCTTATGATAAAGTTTCAAGTTATGTGCCTTAAGTATGCCACTTAAACATTAAGATCTTGTTTCAGATGCCATTATCATCAGTGAACGAGAAAGCAGATCAGAATTTCAAACGGAAACTGTCAAAACGAGAAAAGAAAGAGTTGAAGAAGAAAGAAAAGTTGTCAAGACTGAAATCAGACACCAACGATGAAAACCGACCAGTAGCTGAGAAGTTATACACAGGTGTTTATTACTTATTGATTACCACTTAAATACCAAAATTCCTTTTTTTAGTTAGATTTTCTTTAAGAAATGGTCATTTAAATAGACAGCAAACTTGAAAAAGAAGTTTTTTTTTACCCATACTAAATAATCAAAGAATAAGTTTGAAATATTTATAAATCTCTTTACTTTATATTTATGCTATGAAACGTGTAAGGGGAAACCCCAATTTTCCATAGTGTTTTTGTCACAAAATAAACAAAAAATACCCTTTTCTTTATAATTATAATAAATTAATTTAACTTTAACTAAATGATTACAGACAGACCAATAAAATTGTTGAAATTGCCATTCCCCCCTAAAATTCAAAAAAAAAAAATTGGGGGAAGGGGGCAGGTTTCAAAAAGTTGAAAAAATTCGACGATGAGGTGTAGGACTCGGTACTCAATTGGTAGAAAGCGGGTGAGGGGCGGTTTAAGGCCCGCCCCGGAAAAATTTTTCAATTTATTTTCGATATTTACAGAAATAATATTGTTTTTACTCAATAAACACATCAACATGCAAAACTTATCACATTAACGGTTTACCTTTGCAATCAGGATTTTAATAAGGTATTTTGGTATTCAGAACCAACCACCAACCTTTTTCTACATATTTATAATTATGTTGTGTATTCGACCGCAAAAATAATGTATGTGCTTTTTGTTACATGTTTTATTATCAATATTTTTCCTTCTATATTGAAGTACTTAATGCATGTAATTGTTATTGCATTTCGTCGTCTGGTGCTCTGCTTGTAAAAGTCATTAAATTTCATATTAATGCAATGTTTTTGAACAGAATTACCGGAAACTTCGTTCACGCGCAGCATCAGTAATCCAGAGGCGGTGATGCGTAGACGACGGCAACAGAAACTCGAGAGGAAGCTCCAACAGTTTCGTTCCAAGGATGGTGGACCAGATACTGGTATTTTGCGTTCTTAATAACTCTATATTTTATTGGACCTTCAATTAGTTCTATGAGTTACAGTCTGATTGGAAATTATCTATGAAAGCCTACATCAAAGCTTTGATAAAATACACACAACATTGCTTCCTGACGGAACGACAGTAAATACTTTCCAAAATTAATGCATATTTGAAATCTTATAATGCTCTGTCTCTTATTTGGATATTTCAACCTTTAATTTTTAATCCTGCTCTTATAAAAAGAAAACGTCACCAAAATTGCAAAATTATTTTGTTAGTTGGGGCTCTGATAAGAGTTCTAAGTTGTAATAGAAACTAAAAAGTGGGTTCTTCTAAACACTGTACATTTTTGCATGTACATGTTCCGAAAAGAATATTCTAAAATTCCTCTTCTGAGCAGGTGGTACGCTAAAGATTTACGGGTCTTCATTAAGTCCGGATGTGCCTTATAAAACACTTCTACTGTCCGTGGGTGACAATGCTGCTAGCATCGTGAGGGAAATGCTAGAAAAGTATGGACTATCAAGACACGACCCACTGCAGTACTGCATTGTGCAGGTATACGTTTATTTATTTATTAAGTGACAGAATTTGCAAAGAAAAAAATAATTATAAATCAACTTCACAAGAAAATAAATTTTCTTTATAATATTGGTAGCATAATATGTATTATATAATTGGTAGGCTGATCTTACTTTTTCTGTAAATTTAATGGTTAGTCAGACACAAAAATGTATTTTGCGTAGTACGACTTAGAACTTAGGTGACTTGTAGGGACACCAGCTTGTCTCTTAATAAAAGAAAAAATCGAAAATTACCTTATATCTAATTAGCTGAGTCAGCGACTTTGCTAATTAGATATAAGAAGCGTAGAATCATTATTTTGGGCATCAAGTCTGTTTTTGCAAACCTCTTTTTCAATCCATAAATTTAAGTGCCGTCGTCCTTGCAAGTAATTCTTAAAAGATAGACATATATTGCCGCGGACTTTTTTTAGATTATTAAAAGAGAAATCATTCTACTCGGGCAATTTTTTAGGTACTTGAACCGTTTTCGCAGCGTACGCAACGGAAACCCCCCGGTCATAAATATTTTCCCCCGTTTTTTCCTCATTTCCCGCTGTTTAGTCACAACGCGATGTCTTATAGCCTATAACCTTCCTCAATAAATGCTCGATAAACGCACTAACCAACACAAAAAGAATTTTCCAAATTCGAACCAGTAGTTCCTGAGATTAGCGCGTTCCAACAAACAAACTCTTCAGCTTTATATATTAGTATAGATAGCAATTTCAACAAAGAAGCAATTCATTTTAATTTGAAATCAAGTTAAAGCTATCAAATTTTATACAGATTTTTGTATTCAAGCATCTCATTAGCTACATAAAAGTCAAGTTTGCGCGATACTTCTCTTTACGCCCGAAAACCTTTTTGACCGGAGTATATTCGAAAAGAAGTCTATTGAAGTTGAAGGTTAAATGAAAACATTATATCAAGCAGCACTTGTAAAATTAGTCGTTGCTAAAACATCTAAAGAGATTGAATGTAAATTTGTGAAGATTTCTGACCTATTCAAATATTTAAATAACTATCTATACTAATATTAAAAAGCTGCAGAGTTTGTTTGTTTGAGTCCTCTCTTAGGAACCAGGGAGATACATTGAAAAGTTCAGTACTTCGTGATGGTTAGAGCATGTACCGCGACCAATAGAAGCGATAAAAACAATAGGACACCTAAATAATATGTGTGAGAAAATGATTCGTCTTTATATGAACTAAAAAAAATGTATGCGACAGTAAGTATATGTCTATATTGAAAGATTGAAGGACGGATGGCAAACGACGTCGTACGGGTAACAGCTTTAATTTAGAAAACACTGTTTGACGCCCGAAATAACTTCTACGCGGACGAAGTCGCTGGCACAGCTAGTAGTAGATAAGTTTTAAGTACTGTTCCCAAAGCCTTTTTTATTCACGTTAGTCATTCTAATCAAATCTATCATCTCGTAGGTGGATGCTGCTGACAATTCGGAGTATATCCTCGAGGATGATGAGTGTCCGCTAGCTATCGTCATGACACACCCTCATCGTGGTAAGTGGAAAAAATCTTTACAGAAGAGATACTTGAACTATAATAATTATAGGAAGTATAGCTATTTTAACCGAATTTAAATGTAGGTTTTAATGAAATTTATGCATGGCGTTAATACGTATTTTAACTGTGTTTGAAGCAAAAGCTTTGTACAGCCTGTCTCTAACTCGTTTGAATTAAAATTGATCCCGTTACACCTAAATTTTATCTGTAATTATGTTTCTAGTAAAATTTGGTCAAATACTTAAAAAAGACAAGATCTAATAGTATGTGCAAATCTTTATAAGACCAGTTTTCGAACTACTAAACTATAAAATAGTTTGTCAGTGCATCTTGTGTTATGCTATATGGCTGGGGTATTTCACCTCGAGTGAACACCACGCTTGTCTCACCCCCCTCCTCTATCATTAAAAAAATACTTCATCGTGAAATTATTAATTAATTATTCATAAAATTTCACTAACACGTTTTGACATGATAATTTATAAACACAGCAAATGAAATTTTAATTATCATATTTGAAAGCAAAAATGACACTTTGTTTCCTCTTAAATTATTTCACGGTCCGATTCTTGATTTGTCATACCCTTATCACTCCCAATGGACAATTTTAAGGACACCACCTTGCAAAATGTATGAAGTAGGTAAGCGGACAAAAAAAAGGAGTAAAATTGTTTTATATACTTTTTTATTCCTAGTTTTAGAGAAAAGAATTTAAATCAAAACGAAGCGTAAAAAACTTACTACTTCTTACTACATTCATATGGTTGATATATTTTTACCTAAAATTTTAAACTTTTTTTTTAAATATCACTCGTTTCTCAGTAAGACGGGCACGTTGTAATGGTACAATGTACGGCTAATAATCAACAAGTCGCGGGTTCGTACGATCTTTACCAGGTCCAACATATTTCTAATCTATTTATAATTTTTTAAAACATTTCGGACGTCTGGAAATCTGCATAGTAAATGGGTGATAGGAATATCGAAATTCCGTCCGCGTCACGAACCACCGTCCACAGACGATAAAGGCAGGAAGTTTAATTAAGTTTCGAATTCAGTCTGTGGTTTTTCTCAATATCCAAAGCCAAAATAGGTCAATAGTGCATATTGTTTAGATGCTATAGATGAACTCCATGCTACCCTGTTCTCCTCTATCATTGAAAAAAAAAAGAAAATAAATTATTGTAACCTGAACTTAGTTTATTATGCACGCTTAAATCTAATCTTGTGCCTCAAAGATACAACACTTTCTCTGTTGAGTATTTCTTTCATAATTGCCTCATTCACACCCTCAGTGCGACTTAGTGAACATCAACAGGCCCTCCAGATAATGAGCATGCGGATTTTCACCAGCTTGCGGAATTTTATAGCCCTCAACATTTAATTAATTAGGAAATTTTGTATTTTTAGCAAAATGCCATTTCAAATCCAAATACGTAATATACGAAACTTTAAAAAATATTGCTAGAAAACTTTAATATTTTTCACATGTTACTGCACATGATGTCACTATTTCAATAATGGAAAATAAATTGAAAAAATCGACGATGTGTTGTAGGACTCAATTTGTAGAGTAACAGCACAGAACGCTGACGAAACCGGTTCAAGTCCTGCCCGAGTCGAACATTTTTTCAATTTATTTTCGATTTTTAAATTATATTAATATTGCTTCTTGTGAGTATAATGTTTTAATTAGAACATAAAGTAACTTCAAATATTAAATAATGAACTGAATCTAAGACTAAATCGTGTATCTCTTGTACATATTTTTTTTTTTCTTTATATATATCTTTTTTAGTAAAAACTGAAGAAGTTCTTTTGTTTCGTTCTCTTTCTAAAAATATCATCGGTTTAACGACATAACAAGGCGGATTCTTTCGCCAAATTTATTTTAAAGTTCTTGTTTTCTTTGTGATTTGTAGTCACGTAAACATACATAATAAAGCAAATGAAAAAGGTTTTATAAAATAAAATCAATGTTAGGATTAGACCCTAAAACGAGTGTAATAAATACAATTTTATTAAAAACGACATACTTGCTTGTACAACGAAATCCAAATCATTTTATATATAAACGATACCAATAGTTTTTAAAATGATTATAATATGGCAAATACATAATGTTTGAAATATTGTGGATATCTTATACATATATCCAATTCAATGACATATTGTCGTCGTCGTATCTAATTAAACTTCACTATTTTCGATAACGAAGTTTAATATACCCCAAGTCAGTTTTGGAGTCTACAAAGTCAATCAAAATGTTAATTCAAATCTCTCGAGAACACGAAATATTGGGCCTGCATATAACGTCCGTTTATTACGAGACTTGAATCATCTATAATCTTATAGCCATAACAGCGATATAATTAGCTTCATAAATTAAGTTAAACATAAGTCGCGCCTCCATTAATATCATTCATACAAGTCTGTAACCCTGACTCCGTTACGCCGGGTCGGTGACCTTCGTTTGAAGTTGCATCGCAACTTGTCAAGCGAGCCTATTCGTCTACGCTGAAATGAAAACAGCGATGATTGAAATCCGTCGATTAGCCGGCGCGGACGTAATAACTTATACACGCTAGCATAGATCCAGAAGCATTAGCGTACAATGGGAATAGACCGGGAGAGTGCGGGCGGCAGTCGTCTGGCTGCGGCGCCGCGGGCCGCCCGCTCGGTTCTCGGCATGGATTGGGGCATTCGACGTAAGTTCGCCCACTTTGAAAAGTTCGCGTCGATCCTACACTCGCCCACGGCCACAGCCGTTCTCGCCGTTACTAAAGCGATCGAAACTAATAGTAAACAAACGCATGTGACACTGGAGTAGTCGGACCGGTGTGGCCGCAGATGCCGGTACCCTCGCCTGCGCTGGTATTTTTAACTCGTTTCGCGGTTCGATGCCCGTCGATTCGCCGAATCGATATGCATACTATCGTCCTTGGGCGATTGCTTTCGCGAAAGTTGACAGTGCCCGTAATTTTCTAGGATTGTCTATAGTAATACTTCCCCAGCAGTAAGTTATACATTTTTTGACGCTTACGCATGATTAGGTACATCTCGAACGGAACTCTTCTAACAGTTTTTAAGTAAAACACTTATAAGTGTTAACAACGCGAAATATGTTAGTCTATTTGTTTTTAAATTCAAATTCATGTTTTGGATGTTTTGCAATAGCAACACCACAACTTTAAAGTGTTATATTTAATGTGGAGCTCTCGCATAAACTACGGCCAATACTTAACCGTTTTTTAGTCGCCGACGAAAGGTTGAAATTTTATTTGTGACGCGCGATTGAACTTGCTCTATTTCGCTTCGATTAAAATCATAAAAATGCTCGTTTTACGGTTTGTCCATAAAAGTTACGCTTACGACTCTCGCTGGGTTGACCTTTGCTGTAATCGCGAATCTTTTGTTGGTGATGACAAAACTGGGTTATAAAGCGGAATGTGTGGTATGTGGACTGTTAATAAGCGCCGAGAATGCATGGTTATAAGTTATAACTCGCTCGCAAATACACGAAGTGCACAGCTTAGTAATCGTTGTTACACTACAACTAAAATCTTATTGGAACTCTCCTCAAATGTCCTCTTAGTATTGTTTTATATAAATGTCAAGGAGACGGACATTTGGCCGAATAACCTGATAAAAGCTCTTAGGAAGACAAATAGCTGGTAATGTGTCGGGCTCAGCGACAAGTGAAATTGTATTTCACCCGCGATGCCCCATTTTACGGGTAAATTAATGTTTTTATGTCATCTTTATCCAAGCACTGCAAAGCCGAAAGGAGTTTTATCGTTGCTTAAAAAACGGAACAACTTTTATTGATGATACGAAAACGATTACTACGACGTATTAAACTTCATTATACAATTAACAATAATATTTTTAGTGTCTTTTTCCTTTTTTGTTTAGTTTTTGGCAGCCTATAGTGATAATTTTTTCGTCTTTACCTTACGCTTAAACCGTCGTAGTTTTAAATACTACTTAATTTTTACTTGTTACTTGTTACTACGAGTTTGTATACGAAGTATAGTGCATTAAAACAGGACTAAGGTATAAATAAAACATCTCTAGACTCCTAACGGTGTTTTGAAACGGGCAGTTTTCGTTGCCTTCAAGTGTTTAAGGGGTAAATCCAAGTTGTATAGCCCTCATTGTCGAACAAAATCGAGTTTGAAGTGCCTTTGTGTATCCCAAACGATTATACAGCTATTAGGGAAGTAATTTATTAATGCACACGTGTACTTTTTGCATTCACTATGTAAATATTTGATATCATTTGTATGTTGGGTTTTAAAACAACATTATTCATGTAATTTATCCCCATGTTCTCAACTTCAACGGGTTATTACTGCGAGTCACCATCAAGGGTTCATCGGTAAAACAGACACATTTCTGTGTCCGTTTCACAGATTGACTTGACATCTAAGCCAGGTGTACATATCCAAAACCTCTTCCTATCGAGTTTATCTTTTTAGAGCCTCTTCAAAGCCTTGTGTAAATTGTATATATATAAATACATTGGTTTATATAATTCTATATGATTTTCTTTTATATTTTTTATTTCTAAGTTATAAAAAGGTTAGTATAGGTATATTTTATATATTCAGTGATTGGATCGCGCGACCCGAGGAAATAGTAATGATTTCTGTTACATCCGAGTTGACCGCGTTTCATTCCTAGAATTACCAGAATTCCCAGAGGTCTTATAGGATAACGTTTTTATTAGAAGCATGTATTATTTCACCTATTGGAGATGGCATTCCAATAATGAACAGCTAGAATATCGTTTGACTTTCTATCATTTACGATCACTAAAATGTTAATACGAAAGGCACAAATTTCCAACAATAATATCTACCTACTATTTACCTTAGTTATACCTATGTTGACGTCATAAAGCCTCACCAAAAGTTTATAAACCTAGTCTGCGTCAATTCAAGTGAGAAATGTCTTTAAGTCGGTTTTTTTAACTCATAACAGACAGCGTGTAT